CCTCTAGGCCAGTTGTTCTCAACCTTCCTAATGCCGCCACCCTTTAATACAGTTCCTCATGTTGTGGTGGCCCCCAATTTTATTGTTACAAATTGGACATAATTAAAGCATAGTGATTAATCACAAAAACAATATGTAATTATGTATGTGTTTTCCGATGGTCTTAGGGGACCCCTGTGAAAGGGTCGTTCAACCCCAAAGGGGTAACGACCCACGGGTTGAGAATCGCTGTTCTATTGGGACTGTATCCACAAGTTACCTGAAAGATGGGGGAAATGTGTAGCTAGCGATGGACATTACTTTGAATAAAGCACTTTTGATGTTTCTCTTGAAATTACCATGTTTTCTTTGATTACAAAATCCGCCATTATTAACTGGTACACCCAGTAAATTCATGACCGCAAATCTCGGGTAGGAGCCAAACCTGTCAATGTTGGAGGCAGCCCACGTGTGCACGTGGAGGGGCACTGCCCAAAGTTCCAGATCAAGAGTCCTGAGGCTGGAGCAGGGGAGGCTGTGGGGTGGCGTGATTAGCACTGAGCTGAGGCTGAGGCCAGGCTTTGCCACTGACCCGCTGTGAGTCACTTCCTTCAGCCTTGTTCCTGCACCAGAGTGTAGGGTCACAGAAGGGTGAGCCACATAAGCCACTTGGCACAGTGACTGGTGTGTGTGAAGCATTGAGAACCTGTCAGGTGTCTTTATAGTCTTGTTGTCATCACCATCATCACCTCATCATGAAATTGTCTCAGGTTAATCTCAGGAGCACAATAAGGGCTCTTGTTTATATTTTTTAAGGGAAAAAAAACAGACATGAAAAAAACATAATCCAGTTGACTGCTATTTTGGTTCTATATGCTTCAATATGCATTCATGCTTTACATGACCAAAAATATTTGTAATGCTACTGAAGATTACTCCTGCCCCCTCCCCACAACCTCCTTTTACTAGTATTCCCCATCCTAAGAAACAGAGGTTAAATTTTTACCCAAAAGCTAATGGTAGTAAAATATTTTTGTTTTTAATGCTTTTGCTTATTTTAGAATTTGGAAGTAGGTATATTCAAATGTAACAGAAGGGCAAAACATAAAACTACTAACATATCCTAACATAAAACTACTCTGTTAGTTAAAAGTGAATATTTATCAAGAGAAAGGAATAGTGACAAATATCATTGATTTATTTACAAATGAACATTGGAGTTGTCACCTAAAACACCAAAGAATAGAAATATATCATTGATGTCTTTAAAGGTATTTGAAAGTTCAGCAAAAATAGGCAGGATGTAAGAAATAATTATTTTATTTTACTAGAGGCCTGGTGCATGAATTCATGCATGGGTGGGGTCCAGCTGGTCCACCCCGATCAGGGCCGATCAGGCTGGGCTGGCTGGGGGGAGGGGGGAAACACAGGAGCTTGGCGGGTTGGCCCTGCCCCCAATTGGATGGGGGTTGGCAATCAGGGATGGGGCGGCTGGGAGGAGGAGCCATGGGTGGTTGGCTGGGCGTCCCGCTCCCTGGTCGAACTCCTGGTCAAGGGGATAATTTGCATATTAGCCTTTAATTATATAGAATGATGTTTGTTGTTCTGAAAACTTACTGTCATTGCTGAATTTCTTCATTCCACTCAATGATGAAATTGGAACAAAAGAGACTCTAGAAGTACAACTTTTAATTCAGTGGCTGCCTGACAATCAGAGGCCCTTGAGCAGTCTTCCCAAGGCATTCGTTTGTGTTCATTACTCGTATGACACCTGTGAAGTCGTTCTCCTGGTGCTGGATCTGAACCGTATGCATGTTTCCTCCTCAGGTTCTGAGTAACACACAGTTTGGCTGTACCTGAGGGGCTCTGCTTGGCTTTTGATCTAGGCCTGGCCGCAGTTTTCCACGTCATTAAGTAATTTATTTTCTTCTTTGCCTTCACAGGGCAATTACATTTTCACAAGTCTCATTCTTTAATAAGAAAATGATTTGCTTACCCT